TCGGCTACAAGCGCAGCGAGGCCTTCACGGCGGTTGCGGCGGCCAGCCGGGAGCTTGGCAGTGACGCCAGTCTGGACGCCTTGATCCGAGGCGGCCTGAGGGAGCTGGCGCCGTGAGCGATATCCGCATGGTCAGCCCCGACTACGACGGCGAGGAGGATGCCAGCGGCGAGCTATCGCTGCGTCCCCAGGCCCTGGAGGACTTCGTCGGACAGGCCCAGCTGCGTGCCAATCTGCGCATCTTCATCGAGGCCGCGAAGGCGCGGGGCGAGGCGCTCGATCACGTGCTGTTCCACGGGCCGCCCGGCCTCGGCAAGACCACCCTGGCGCAGATCGTGTCGCGCGAACTGGGCGTCGGCTTCCGCGCCACCAGCGGGCCGGTCATCGCGCGCGCCGGCGACCTGGCGGCGATCCTGACGAACCTGCAGCCGCGCGACGTGCTCTTCATCGACGAGATCCACCGTCTGTCCCCGGCGGTGGAGGAGATCCTCTATCCGGCGATGGAGGATTTCGAGCTCGACATCATCATCGGAGAGGGGCCTGCGGCGCGGTCGGTGCGCATCGACCTGCCGCCCTTCACGCTGATCGGCGCGACCACACGCTCCGGCCTGATCACCCGGCCGCTGCGCGAGCGCTTCGGCATCCCCCTGCGCCTGCAGTTCTACACGCCGGAGGAGCTGCAGCTGATCGTCGGACGCGGCGCCCGTGTCCTGAACATGCCGCTGACCACCGACGGCGCAGGAGAGATCGCCCGCCGGTCCCGGGGAACGCCGCGTGTCGCCGGCCGGCTGCTGCGGCGGGTGCGCGACTTCGCTGCCGTCGAGAGCGCGGGAGAGGTCGATGCCGCCACCGCCGACGGCGCCCTGCGGCGGCTGGAGGTGGATGCCCGCGGGCTCGATGCCATGGACCGGCGCTATCTCGGCTGTCTGGCTCAGAACTACGGCGGCGGTCCGGTCGGGGCGGAGACACTGGCGGCCGCCTTGTCCGAGCAGCGCGATGTCATCGAAGAGGTGATCGAGCCCTACCTGCTGCAGCAGGGCCTGCTGCAACGCACGCCGCGCGGCCGCATGCTGACCCGTAGCGGTTTCGGCTATCTGGGTCTGGAGGCGCCGCGTGCCCTGGTCGAGCAGCTCGATCTCCTGAGCGGCGGCGCAGCGGCGGAGGACGACGCTGCGGGAGAAGACGCTGCGGGAGAGGGCGGGCCGGAGGGAAACGGCGAGGTGGAGGGTCAGACTTGAGGTCCGCCGAAGAGCTGCGTCCCAGTTCCGGTCGGTTCGAGGGGAGCGACCATCTTTTGCCGCTGCGTGTCTATTACGAGGATACCGACGCGGCCGGCATCGTGTATTACGCCAACTATCTGAAGTTCGCCGAGCGGGCGCGCAGCGAGCTGCTGCGTCTGCTTTCGATCGATCAGATCGCGCTGCGCGACCAGGAAGGTCTCGCCTTCGCGGTGCGGAAGGCCAGCGTCGACTACGTCAGTCCCGCACGTCTGGAGGACTTGCTGTACGTACGTTCGCGCCTCACGCAGCTCGGCGGTGCGGTGCTGTCGGCGCGCCAGAGAGTTGAACGTGACGGTAACCTTTTGGCGGATATCAGGGTGCGGGTCGCTTGCCTGCGTTTGTCCGATGGCAGACCTGGCCGAATTCCGCCACAGATCCGCCAAACCCTAGCGCCATTTTGTCAACCGGAAACCTAGGAGCGTCCCGGGATATGGAGAACGAAGCGGTTCAGGTCGTCGGCGCGGCCGCAGGCGCGCACGACTTGTCGCCGTGGGGACTTTTCCTCATGGCCGACGTCGTCGTGAAGTTCGTGATGCTGTTGCTGGTGGTCGCCTCGATTTGGACCTGGGCGATCATTTTCGACAAGGGCGTGCGCCTGCGCCGTCTGCGCCGCAAGGCCGAGCAGTTCGAGGACAACTTCTGGTCGGGCGGGTCGCTGGACCAGCTTTACGACCGCCTTGGCGACAGCGCCAACGATCCGCAGTCGGCGGTCTTCATGGCGGCGATGCGCGAGTGGCGCCGCTCGAGCGCCCGGGGCAGCCGGATCGACGGCGAGCACGGCATGGCGGTCCGCGACCGGATCGAACGCGTCATGGATCTGACCATCGGCCGCGAAATGGAGCGGCTGGAAAAGCAGATGACCTTCCTGGCGTCGGTCGGGTCCTCCGCGCCCTTCATCGGGCTGTTCGGCACGGTCTGGGGCATCATGAACGCCTTCACCTCCATCGCGGCGGAGGCCAACACCTCGCTCACGGTGGTCGCGCCGGGCATCGCAGAGGCGCTCTTCGCCACCGCGCTGGGTCTGGTCGCCGCGATCCCCGCAACCATCGGCTTCAACAAGCTGAACAGCGATCTGACGCGCTACGGGCAGCGGCTGGAGTCCTTCGCCGGCGAGTTCTCGGCGATCCTCTCCCGGCAGATCGAAGAAGCGGCCTAGCCCGATGGCCGCGACCCTGATGAAGCGGACCCAGCAGACCGCCGCCCGCCGTCGGCGGCGCGGTCGCTGGTCGCCGATGAGCGAGATCAA